TTTTCCTAATTCCGAGGGTTGTAGACTTATGTTATGATCAATATGTATGCAAAGGAAAAAAAAAATTCAAAATGCAGGAATACAAAATTGTTATAAATCCTCGATTAATATACTTAAAAAAAGATCAAGAAACATTTCTTTAACACATTGTTCCTCCTCCTGAGTTCCACATTATGATAGGAGTTATGAATAAACTTTGTACCTTGCTTTTATGTGTTTGGCCACCTTTTCAAAATTGGTGAAAATACAGTACATATTAATGAGAGGGTACCATGGAGTAGGCTTAGATGGAAACAATCCTAATAAATTTATGTCCTTGTTAGATGTTTTGTTATTAGCTTAGGTAACTATGCAGAACAATGTGGTGAAGCTGTTCACCACAAATTTAAAAAAACTTTGGCAAATTATAAAAGAACTATAGGACACAAAAATTATGGAGAAAAGCTTAAATCTGCTGTAGTGAATTTTAATTTAAACAATCAGTAGCACTAATATATTTAGTGTTATATATTTATTTGTCATGTCTTTTTTGTAAATAAATTTAATAAATGTTGATGGTTTATTTTGACTACCTCCAAGGCTAACTAAGGAAGAAAATAAGAAAAAAATTATAAGTTTTAATTTCGAAAAATATGTACTTTGCACTTAGTTCAGATTTTTCTGACAATGCATATGATTAAATAAATGCAAAAAAATCAGGAGCAGGGAGAGAAAAATCTGAACTAAGTGCAAAGTACATATTTTTCGAAATTAAAACTTATAATTTTTTTCTTTTTTTCTTCCTTAGTTTGATTAACAATTCCATACTACTACTACTACTACTACTACTACTACTACTACTACTACTACTACTACTACTACTACTACTACTACTACTACTACTACTACTACTACTACTACTACTACTACTACTACTACTACTACTACTACTACTACTACTACTACTACTACTACTAACACTATTAAGTTCAGCAATAATATATAGAGGTATATTTACATGTATATATATATATATATATATATATATATATATATATATATATATATATATATATATATGTATATACATACATATATATATATATATATGTATATATATATGTATATATATATGTATATATATGTATATATATATATATATATATATATATACATATATACATATATACATATATATATATATATATATATATATATATATATATATATATATATATATATATATATATATATATACATATATATATATATACATATATATATATATATATATATATATATATATATATATATATGTATATATATATATATATATATATATATATATATATATATATATATATATATATATATATATATATGTATATACATATATATATATATATATATATTATACATGTAAATATACCTCTGTATATTATTGCCGAACTTAATAGTGTTAGTAGTAGTAGTATGGAATTGTTGGCAGCCATTGCAACTGAGTTAGTGGCAAGAAAGAGTTGCAGCAAAGAACTCGCCTCTGGCTCTTGAACTTTAAAAACAAAAATCGCAAGTTTTGGAATATATTTTTGATCACATTTGCTAACCCAAAACTTACTAATTACAGCAATTAATTTTTTACTAACTCTCATGATTATAATGTTATTGTATTACTATCACTACTCTACTACCGAATATTATAATTGAAAAAAAAATGTTTAGGGTAAACAAACACTTTTTTTTATATATTATTTACCCGTGCCCACTGGGTATCTAGTGGGCACGGGACCTAAAAAAGACGTATTTTGAATGTTCAAAAGATGTTCAAAGCGCTTCAAAAAGGTTTAAAAGACCTCTTTTGTAAGTCCCATGCCCACTGGGTAAAACATGCAATTGCTAAATTCAAAATGATAAAAAAATTAAAAAAAAAATAAAAAATAGTTAAACTAATGCAAAAACTTCTTTATTTTAATCATTTTAATTTATTTTAATCTTTGGAACTTGAAGATTATAAAAGCGCTTTTTATTTTAATATTTTTCATTATTTCAAAGAAATAATGAAAAATATTAAAATAAAAAGGCAAACATTAACTCTAATCGACAACATTTGCACAGTGTGACATTTTCTCAACAACATTTGACCATTTTTTTCCTACTATAATGTCCACTGTCTAATCAAATTTTTAGCTGTATTTATTGTTTTACCAGTCTTACGCAAATATCCTTTGCCAATCCCCCAAATTTTTCAATGGGATGGAACTGTGTGAAGATTGATTGATGTAGCTTTTTGGTATGAATTTGATGTCTTTCAAACTGTAGCACTCTTCTTAGAATATGACAAGAAGCAAAATTAGGCCAGAATCAACAGGGGACCTTGTGACTTCCATAAAATTGCAAAAGCCTAGCTTGCAAGTCTTCTTTGATGTAAATATCCGAGTTTAAAGTTGACGATGTGACAAAACCTCATGATCTCAAACCACAGCTGCATATTGCTTGCCAAAATTTAATCTTTAAAAAACTCTGAAACTTTATACCTTTTAGGTCATTCTCTGTTCGATAAGCCGGGATTTTGTGTGAATGATCGTCGAATACTAATTTCTGCTTTCTTACCTTTAAAGTAACTCTTTCTTCCAGATCTATTTGCTTGTTTGATAGATAGAGAGCTCTTGTATTGTTTTATGATCATATAAACAGTAGTTTTGCTAAATTCAGATTCTTTAGTGATTGAAATTAACAATGGAGAAGGATTTTGTAGATAGTTCTGCAGAATTTTTTTCGTTTTTCTAAATGTTTCAATGACATTTTAATTAAGAGAAACATTTTGACTTGTTTGTTGATGTTTTTAATTTATACTGTAATTACTTAATGTAATTACGCGAAAAAAAAATTTAGTAATGTGTTATTGACAAGCTTTAAAACAAAATTTATCGTTTCAAATTTAACAATTTCATGCATTAGTATAATTTAAAAGATAAGAATAACCTTAGATCATTAAATCACGCATCAAATATTTAAAATCATAGTATTAGTATAAAAATACAATATAAAGCAATTTATGCAATACTGTAATGTTTTCAAAAATAATTTACTTTTTTTTAAATAAAACATATTAAGAAATACTTTTAAAGGATAGTATTTTGTTGAGCAAAAAGTTGTTAAAATATTCATTTTTATTACTTTTTGGCAAGACCGTAACTGTTAGAAACTCAATAAATAATTCATTCAACAAATCAGTTAAACAATAAATGAACAAAGTTTGTTTACAGTAAAAAAAACATTTTATTCATTTAAAAAAAAGACAGGAGAGCCGCTTGATTTTGGCGGCTCCAACTCCACAAAAAATAGCGGTTCCCCGGCTCTGGCTCCACAAGCCTGATACAAACATATGTAATGATATTACACACTTTAACAAACAAAAAGATGTTAAAAAAGCTAAAATTTCTAAAAACATCAAAACATCAAAAAAAATTGTTACATATGTGTCATGATTGAGATGTTATTAATGAGCTCAGGTAATTAGTTTTAATAAGCTGCAGATGGTCTGAAAAAAAGTTGTCTGAAACTTAATAAAGAAAAAACGAAGAAAGTCCTGCTACTCCAGAATGTGCAACAATGGAGGCAACAAAAAAAAAAACCCATAGTTAGAAAAAAATTTAAAACTTTCTTTTGACAATTTAAAGTTTTTTTTGCTATATTTATTTTTTTACTATAAATATATGCTGCAGCAGTTTTTCAAAATGCCTTAGTATGCTTATTATGTATTTCAAAAAAAACGCAATTAAAAAAAATTATTTAAAAAAATTAAAAATTAACTTTTTGCAAAACGTTTTTCAGAACTCTTTGAAAATATGTATTCAATAACGTTTGTAGACATCTAACCTAGTTTATTTTTTAAAAAAGTCAAAATGAATATTTTTTACATTGTTTTGAAAAACAGCTGCAGTATGGATGATACAACGAATATGTTGAAATGAGATAATTTGACGCAAAATTTAAAAGCTCTTAACAAAAGCCAATAAACCAAAAAAATTAAAAGTAATTGCAGTTCAGTGCACTTAAAAATTTTAATATAGTGTAATGGTGTTTGGAAAGAAACATTATATAAGTCATTTTTTAATTTTAATTTAAACTAATTTTTTTTTAAACTTTGTTGCGCTTAACCATCCATATAAGCAATATATATATAAACAAATGTTATTTGTTTATATATATATTGTTTATAAAATGTAAAAAATCCACTTATATAACATTTTATTTAGGATTGTATTTAATATAAGTAAACTTTTCTAATAACTACAAGTCTTTTTTATTAAGCTGTTTTGTTTTGATTTTTTGTAGTTATCTGTTTATATTTAAAAAAATTGACAAGATTGAAAAACATGAAACATATTGTCACATCCAAGTGGAAAATTTGAAACTTTAACTTTAGATTTGACCTTAGTTCTTAGTTAGTTCTTAATAGGGAAATATTTATCACTTTTAGGGAAACACAAAAAAAGTCTTATACTTATCACTTTCAGCAAAGCAATTAGTGGAAAACCATTTATTTGGGTGCCCAAATTTAATTGACACTATTTTTTTCTTGTGTTTTATTTAGTTAACTTTTTATCATTTTTTTCTAGCTCATTAATTTATTGCTCTTTTTATTCAAAAAGACAATTATTTGAAATGAATGTATAATTTTTTAACTACTTGACTTTTAAACAGTATCTTATATGATTCGCAATAACAATCAAAAAAATTCCACTAAAGTTGAATGCTGAATAATTTTTTTTTTTTTTTTTAATTCAATACTTAAGTTGGATCAGGTTGTTTCATAAAAATAATTTTTTTTTAATGACTATTTTTTAATGCTCTAAGATCTTCTTAGTTCCATTTATATAGTGTTACGTTCAAACGTCTGCAAATGTAAACGTTTTTACACTTCAGACGTTTGTATATAATGCTAAAAAAAAACCTTTAGAGTGTAAATTTCAAAAAAGACTATAGACAAAGAAATTTTAAAGATGGAACTCACTAACCTCAATGTAATTCCGTTTCATACGATAGCAGTATTCATATAAATCCTCCTAGATAAAAAAAGGTTGAAGGTATTTCATATTTTTTTAAAATTCTAATTTTCAATTTAATGAAAGCCAATTAAAAAGATTCAAATAATAAAAGTAAAATCTACATGCATTTAAAATATGTGGATTTTTATTCCTGTATGTTTAAGTAATTGGTTTAAAAATATGTTGCAGAAACTTTTTCTAGTGATGTGTTCCACTAACATGTTTTAGTATTTGTTCCAGTAAAATGTTGCAAAATTTTTTTTTAGTATGATGTAACAATAATTTGTCTCAGTAATTTGTACTGTACTGCAGTAATTTTATTAAATCCAGTAATATGTTGTAGTAAATTCAGGTCAGGTCGAGATAAGAATTGTTGTGGCTCCCGACTACTGGTAAACATACAACCTACTACATGCTCTATTTCCTTGTATATCTTGTTTTTCTAAACAAAAGAAATTAACTTTGACTTGAAATTCTCTCTTTGATTGAGTAAAAGCTTAAGATGGTGCCTCAACAAAAATACTCAATTTTAGCTACATCCTGTCTGCATCCAGATACTGTCTCATAGTAGACATCCTAGACAAAAACATTAAAAATAAACAGCAAATTTCTGTTGACCAGCCTTGCACTTCTTCATCTAATAATCTGGTGTAGACAAACCTGTGTTAGAATGTTTTCTACCTTGGATAATGAACGTTAAATCTAGACTCCGTTCATAGGTTTTTGTTTTGCCTTCCTGATGGTGGCTATGCAACTCTTTCTGTTATCTCCTAATGAAGGTACAACTTGAAGGCTCGATTTAATGGGTAGGAAGATGGTTAGATTTCATGAATTCTGTGGTAGCTTTCAGAATAGATAATAATGTCAAAAAAGTACAAGATAAATGCTTTAGTGAAATCATAGCATCAAACCACCAAAAGAAAAACTAGGAAAAACTAAGCACAAATTATAGATTGAATGGTTTTACTTTAACTGTAAACATCTTTTACTGATTATTTTGATTGTATGCAAATACAGTTAAGATTTAGTAAAAACTTTTTAAAACTTTTGTATAAATACATATATATATATATATATATATATATATATATATATATATATATATATATATATATATATATATATATATATATATATATATATCAGTCACGGACAAAATTAAGTAACATTATTGATAAAATCGAAACTCAAACAATAAAAACAAAATTATTCAAGTCAGGATCTACGCAACTGCAATAACTTTATGTTTTTTTTAAAAATTTGATTCCAAAGAAAAAAAATATATTTTTAACTCTTTATAACTCATTGCAAAAGTAACTCTATTAAACGAAATTAGCTATCTTACAACTTTTTTGTCCAAAATAAATGCGACATAAGTAAGAAACATCTTTTTTTATTATGAGTTTTTATTATGAAATATAATGTTTTATCATTAATATATATTGTTATGTCAGTAATATATATTAAAAATACAAGAATATCATGTCTGATTTTCATTTTAGTACTTTGTTGCACCACCTTTTGCTTTCATGACTGCTTCTAAACGTCTTGGCATGCTTTTTACAAGCTTTGACGTGACGTCAGTACCAATTGAATTCCAAGTTTCACTAAGAACCTCAAAAAATTATTTTTTATTTGTTCGTTTTGAAGGAGGCATTTTAGATTTTAAAATTGCCCATGAATTTTCAATGGGGTTAAGGTCCGGGCTTTGTGGTGGCCATTTAAGGATGTTAACTTTACTTTTTTTGAGGAAATGTTGTGCCACTTTGCTGGTGTGTTTGGGGTCATTGTCTTGTTGAAAAAAGAACTTGCGATCTAAACTCAATTTTTTAGCGGATTGACATAAATGATTGGAAAGCAAATCAACATACAATTGTCCTGTCATTATACCTTCAACATTTACCAGTCTTCCCACACCATTTGAAGCAAAGCATCCCCAAACCATAATTGAGCCACCTCCATGCTTGACAGTTTTTCTAAGATTTCTATCTAAGAGTGCATCACAAGGTCTGCGCCAAACTCTGTGTCGTTTTTTAAAGCCAAATATTTGAAATTTACTCTCATCAGACCATAACACTGAGTTCCAAAATGCCTCATCCTTGTTAATATGCAGTTTTGCAAATGCTAAGCGTTTTTTTTTTGTTTATACCACTAATGAGGGGTTTACTTTTTTGAAGACGGTTTATTAAACCACTTGAATTAAGTCTTCTCTGTACAGTTCGACTGGAAACATTTAATTTAAGATTTTCAACAATCTGTCTTGAGGTTATTGTTGAATTTTGTTTTGCTATTCGCGCAATAAATAGCATAAAAGTTCTTGTTGAAGTCTTAGGGGGGCGACCAAATCTTTTCTGATTTTCAACAGAACCAGTTGTTTCAAATTTTATACACATCTTTCTAACACCACTTATCGATATTTGATATTTTTCTGCACATTGCTTGTAGGTTAGGCCCTTTTTTCGATCACAAATGACCCGAGATCGGATGTCCAACGAATAATTTTGATGATGAACCATTATTATTGTTAGTTGTACTTTTTCTAAAAATAAATTCTGAAAAAATAAAGTTTAAAATGCTTATTTTTAATAAATTTAACAAAATCTCTTTAATAATAATCATTTTTAATAAATAGCTATTGACAAAACATTATATTTCATAATAAAAACTCAAATGTTTCTTACTTTTGTCACATTTATTTTTGAAAAAAATTTTGTGAGATAGCTAATTTTGTTTAATAGATTAACTTTTGCAAGGAATTATAAAAAGTTATAAATGTATTTATTTTTCTTAGGAATCAAATTAAAAAAAAAACATAAAATTATTGCAGTTATGTAGATCTTGACATAAATAATTTTGTTTGTATTGTTAGAGTATCAATTTTATCAACAATGTTACTTAATTTTGTCCTTGACTGTATGTATATATATATATATATATATATATATATATATATATATATATATATATATATATATATATATATATATATATATATATATATATATATATATATATATATATATATATATATATATATATATATATATACATATATATATATATATATATATATATATATATATATATATATATATATATATATATATATATATATATATACTATATATATATATATATATATATATATATATATATATATATATATATATATATATATATATATTAATTATCATTTGTATACTACAAACACACAACCATTACATGCTAATAACAATAATTTATCATTGTTTTTTTAAAACTCATTTTACCCAAGAAAAAGTTTTTTATAAATTTTTTTTTATCATTATAATTCATCTAATTATTAAACTTAAATAGGAGAATCATAGAAATTATGAGTATGAATAATGTCAATTGTGTACCTGTCCTTCAGGAGAGCAGAACTCATTAAGTCTTTCTTTTTCCAATTCAGATGTTGTAAAGAGGGATAGCAATTGAAAAAAATATCTTTTTGGAGTTGCTTGAATACTCAAGTGATTAAGAAACAAATTTTCTAAAGTACAGCAGTGGATGTTTGATGGGAGAACAGCACCTAAATTTCAAACAAAAAATTTCAAAAAGCTCATTAAAAAAATTAAAAAAATAAAACTTTTACTTTTTTTCCAATAATAAAAACTTTACTGCTTTTACTGTTTTTCCAGTAAACAAACAATCACCATTTATAAATTTAAAGTAAATAAAAAATCAACATAAAATTTAAAACTAAATTTTTAATTTACTCCTGTAATAATTGCTGTAGAAATTGCAAAAGCTTGTAATAGTTGCAATCAATAAAAAGTTTAATTGTAAGAAGCATTAATGAAATAATCCAGAATAAATTAAACAAAATACAAATATAAAAAATAAATTAAGCTAACCAGCATCAACCATGACAATGTCTGTATTCTGATATTAATTCAAACAATGTATGCTTACTTAATAAAACATATCCCTGTATATTAGTCAGTATATGCACTATGTATTTTTTATTGCCCAGTAAACTTCTTTTGAAAATGGTACAAAAAAATATAAAAATATTGCAATGAGGTTTTTTGTAATGCAGCACATGACACTATGAATAAAAATCAGCGGTGGATTCAACAAAGGACGTGGAAGGAAGAGGAAAGGCAAGCTGCTTCTACGCCCCTAGGATGGTCAACTGGCACTCTCTAAAACATTTAATTTTGTTCTTTATTTAAGGTACTTATTAATAAATCCTGATTTTAAACATAAATAAAAAACTAGGCAACTACAAACCATTGTTTACATACCTGCTTTACAATTTTGCCCTCATTTATTGCAAAAAATAAAACAGAGACATTTTGCTTTAAAATAATACTTCAAATAATACTGGTAGTCAGGTTTCCTGAACACTGTGGTAACTCTCAGAGAGGCTGATTCTATCAACAGCTGTAAAGTATCAGAGTACTAACAATGCCATGTTGAGCATGGATGGTGTCCCTGTTCATACTTTCGGTGTGTATTTTCGAGCCCACATTTGAAGACAGGGATAACAATTCCATATAACTCATCCGTATTACATTATAAGTTAAATAATAAATATGCTAAAATGCAAACGAAATATATGAATGCTTTGCAAAAAAAATTAACACGTTCAATTAGAACAAGTACCTTGTGTCGTGCACAAACTCATACATAAAAACAACTTTTTTTTTTTTTTGTTATTCACCTCCTCAAGGCTGAGAAGGCCACTACAGACAAGGAGGCTACTTAATAGTGGTTATAACCCTCTCTCAACTCTATAACTCCGAAACACGAACCTTGACGAACAAGGCCGCTGCGCGGAGAAACAAGTTGAGCGCGGTATTACTAGGGACGTGGTGGGGATCGAACTTGGAACCTCTCGCTTATAAAGCAAGTGTTTTACCACTACACCACTACCGCATTAATGTGTTAAATTAGCTCACGTACCTTGTGTCGTGCCCAAACTCATACAAAAAAACAATTAACATGTTCAATTAGCACATATATCTTGTGCCATGTAAAAACTCATACAAAAAAACAATTAACATGTTCAAGTTTAACAAGTTCACTAGAGAGTAAAGAAACAAATCGAAACAAAAACTTTTTTCCTGTGGTAGATAGAGATTTCGATTTTTTTGCAAAATGTTTCATAATAATGACACAATAGATACAGTTGCTTGTCTAAAAATATACGAATGTAAAACATAAAGTATTAGGCAAACTAAATCTTCTCAAATAGTTTGGATTTAATATTTACTTATATATATTTATAAAACGTATTTAAATGTAAGAATATATTATGTTAATGTATTTATAAATGTAATAGTTAAATACATTTATGTACTAAATTAAGAATTAGCAACTCATTTACTGAATTCGTAAAATCCTGAAAACATTTCCGCCCAGCAAAAAAATCTAGTATGTTTCTTTAAGCTTCAAAAATTGACACTATTGAATTGTCTGAAAATTTATTATCAATTGTTATAAAATTCTATTGTGAACAACAAGATCAAGAGGAAATCAAAGAAGCTACTTTGCTTTTCAGAGTAAAGCTTTTTAAAAAGAATTTGAAAAAAATCACGGAAAATTCAATTACAAAGTTTCTTGACTTTGTAATTGAATTTTTCATTAACCCAAAGACACTGAAAGCTGAGTTTTTATTATTTGAGTCAACGCATAAATGAACCAAAAACTTAGATTTGTTATTTGATGCACTTAAAACTATAAACCCTTTTTAAAATCCTATTTCCTATTATATTAGAAAAATTACGATAAGTGAAATAAATATAATATATGAAATAAGTATTTCTCATTATTCAATTTTAATAAAGAAAAATTCAAAAAACCTGGTAAAACCATTTTTTTTTTTGGAATTTAAAATTCGAAAACCAGTTTTTCAAAAAATTGGTTTTTGTCCAAACCCTAGATCCAAAAACATCCAAAATTAAAAATTCTAAATTTTTTTTTTTAATATTAATTATTATTTATGATTTATCATATTAACAAGTAATAATTAATTGAGTAACTAATTATTAGAATGCATCACACATTTTATTAATTAAGTATTAATATTACCTGAATTTCCAGGTGAAACTTTGACTATTGTATCTGATTTCCAAGGCACAACTTCAAAGAAATGACAAACAACTTCATTGAGATTACATGGTCTGACCATTAGAACATCACCTGGAGTGTAGCTATGTATTACAAAAATCGAATAATTAAAAAAAAAAGCATGTATTTATTTCTTATTATTAACAAACTTTTGGAATTCTTTATAATACATTTGAATTTTCTGTATTATCAGAATGAAATACCAGATAAATTTAATAATATGATTCTTAGTAACCAACCAAGGATTAATTTTTTTCTGGGATTCAATAAAAAAAAATAATATTAAAGAGGGTTTTAATCTATAATTAAAACTATCATCATTATCATTGACCCTTTTCAGTTCCAGCTTCCTCATTTATTTGTTATATGGTCTTTCAAAATTTTTGCAAATCATTAACTTTTATCCAAAGCTAGAAATGTACACAGTCATCTTTTTATTACTATTATTATTTTTAAAAAATTTTCTTTTAACTATATAACTCTATTTTTTGAAATAAAATATGAAAGAGTTGAAGCAATTTTTTAGTTTGATTTTGTTCAGGAAAAAAAGTGCTGTTTAACTTATTTGAATTTTTTTATATCTCAAATTAGATTTCTAAAACTTTTTGGATTAAGACAAAAAGAACAAAGGCTAGAAATTTCAAGATCCACAACCCCTTCCCTCCCTTGCCCAAAAAATAAAAGAAAACAAAGGGTTACTAGTTGGGATTAATCTGAACTAGTAACCCCTGCCAACTTGGCTATTTAACAACTAAGGCTTTTTTAATCATCACTTCCCCAATATTGTCATGGAGGTGCCAATATTGTCATGGAGGTGCCAATATTGTCATGGAGGACACTTTTCAATTTCTCCTGTTATCATGACAACTATCTCTCAAACATAAACACTGAAACATAAACTTTGATAAATGAAGCAGCTGCACTGAAAAACGAACATGGTACTTACAGGGACATAACAAGTTTGAAATTTGTGTTTTTGAAAGTAAAAAGTATAAAGAGATAGTATAAAAAGTAAAGAGATACAGTATAGATAAAGGTATAGAGAGATACAGCATAGATAAAGGTATAGAGAGATACAGTATAGATAAAAGTATAGAGAGATACAGCATAGATAAAGGTATAGAGAGATACAGTATAGATAAAGGTATAGAGAGATACAGTATAGATAAAAGTATAGAGAGATATAGCATAGATAAAGGTATAGAGAGATACAGTATAGATAAAGGTATAGAGAGATACAGTATAGATAAAGGTATAGAGAGATACAGTATAGATAAAGGTATAGAGAGATACAGTATAGATAAAGGTATAGAGAGATACAGTATAGATAAAGGTATAGAGAGATACAGTATAGATAAAGGTATAGAAAGATACAGTATAGATAAAGGTTGAGAGAGAAAACTATTTAATTACCTAAATATAAATCCTCTGCTTGAAGATAAATAAGTACCCAATCCCTTTTTGAAGACATAAAAGGACCCAACTTCTGCTTGACAAACTGCAATAGTGATAAAGTGGCAAAGTGATTACAGGAATTTTAAGTGGCTTTTTGATTGCAGGAAATTTAAAAAATTTTAAATATTTAAATTATTAAACTAAAAGGTCTGAGAAGATTTAAAATGAATATATATATATATATATATATATATATATATATATATATATATATATATATATAAATTTTTAATTTTTGATCTGAGAAGATTTAAAATGACTTTTTTTAATTTTTTTAATTTGTTTTAAATAACATTTCCAACATTTGTAATGTTAAATTCAATCATCATCCAACAATCAATCATCCAACATTTGTAATGTTAAAACTACCAGACAGCATTTATGAAGCAGTTGTCCAATAGTTCTGCAAATGTTTAAAACATGAAATCTTATGTGAAACACTGTTATAAATTCAAGCAGAATGATTTTTTTGAATAACGCATTAATACAAAGCTAAAAAATATTATTAAACTCATATATTAAAAAACAAAGCTAAAACATTTTATTACATACCTATATTAAAATAGCTTTTTAAAAATAGCACTACCTTAAGTTTTTATCTTTTAAGTTAAATGAAATCAAACGTACATCTTGAAAATGATCTATTGCTGTTTTCCTTTCATTTCGAAGAATGTGTGTTTTTAAAGGATTCCAACGATCAATAGACACTAAAAAGACACTGAAGAATCAACCAAAAAAAAATATATAAATGTAAATATATACATACATATATATATCAAGCCTTCCCAGGACATTTGAAATTTTTTTAGACAACTTGACCACGTTTTCTTATAGTAAGCGTTTTAAATATTTGCGGCAAAATAAAGCTATAAGAAACTAGAAAGAATAAAACAGCAATACTCAAGAAAGGAAAAAAATACTATATGAAATAAAAAGTCTAAATAAAATAAACTTAAAAAATTGAAAATTAAAGCAATATTTTGTCAAAAAAATAATATACATAAATATTTTACTGTTTTTGTTTTCTTTTTTTAGGCAATTGTTATTTTCAACTACCGAAATTGATACAACTCAAGGAACAAAACAGATAAGAATATAACGAAAATAAAAACATTTTTTGATAAACAATTTATTTGCGACTTTTGTCAGTCAGTATATTAAAGAAATTATTTATTTGCGCTAGAAATACGGACATTTTTAAAATTTGTTTTTCAAATGTTTCTTCTAAACTTTACTGTTTTTATCAATGCACAGTAAAGCGAGAAAACTAATTGCTATTTATTTGTAAAACAAAAACTTTACTTTTGTAGACAAGTTTTTAATGTAAAAAAAAAAACTAATTTTTAAATATAAAATATGTAAACTACTTTGAAACATCAAATAGAATGGATGTAATGTAAAAAATTCTTTAATTGATTTTCTCGATAAAAAAATAAACTCCTTGAACATATCCTTGAAACAAATAAATCAAAAACAAGTTAATCAAACTAAGAAATTATCAGTTTTTTCATGTAATAAAGTAAAAACAGACAAAAAAATGAACTTTTTTACAGGGATTTCTACAATTGCTTTATTTAATGCACGTTCTCCCTTATTATACCTTTTCTTCTGAAGCTGAGATAATGGCGATGAACTAAACATGTTCAGATTTTTGGCAAATTAAAACACAAATTTTATTCACCAAAACATAGAAAACTTACACACCATGATGAATTTTTTTTAACCTTAATACGACTTCACCTAGGAATTCTTAATGAAGACATTGCATAATGATTCGGAATTTCTACTACTACTTGAAGTAGTAGGAGAAATTCTGAAGATGTTCTGATAATTTTATAACAAAAGATAGTGGTTTTTATGACTTATTAGAATGTGATGATGAAGTCATGGTAGATCATGAATTTCAAATCCAGGAAGAACTTTTATTAAGGTTTTGATCGTTCCTTTAGGTGCACGTCTTAAAAGTCAAATGATTGCATCTGAATGTAAAAAAACTAAAAAAATAGCCAACTTGTATCTCCACATACATTTGGAGAGAGTAATAAATAGATTGAGAACTTAATTTTAAAGAATGCTTTTCCTTTAACAATGAAAGAATTTTAAGAACGAAAGAAAGAAAGAATTTTAAAGAATGCTTTTCCTTTAACAATGTTGCGTCATGTTGATGATATTGTGAGGGTGTTTGCTGCACTATGTAACTTAAAACCTGTGTTGATCAATAATGCAAGAGATGGAAATATAAAAACTTATTTAAAATTGTAGTTTATTTGTATTTTCACAATATTTATTTTGAAAAGAAAAGTCTTTTAGTTTTATATGAATCATTTTTTCCTCCGGCAGGGACTGGGGCAAGAATCCCTTCCCTTATTTCAGAATAAACTTAACACTAGGAGTTAAGCATTTTGTTTAGTTGCTAGTTTGTTTTTTTTAGTTTTATTCCCATCTTTCACTACTTTTGTTGTTTGGATTTTAATGCTATTATGTCATATTAAGTTTTACAATACCATTTAAATGCCTTTAATAGTTGAAGCAAATTTTCATCCTTACAATTTTTCACACCCTGTTACTTATGTTAAAAGGAAGTAGTTTGCACTAGATTACATGACTAGTAACAGGGTGACCTGACCTAGTTGTTAAATAATATTAAGTTATTAAATTTTGTTTACATATTGATTAAAAAATACATTTGAATAAAAAAATTGTTTTTAAATTTAAGTTTGCATTATTGAAATAATTTCAGGTTCTAAAAATCAGGGAGGCATTCATAATAAACAGAAAATAAATGTAAAAAAAGTTGGGGGTAATAAAACACAATGTAATTTTTTAATATACAATGAATGGCTCTAAAGACATAATCACTGTTTAAAATGCAAATTAGAAACTTTCAATTTTAAAAACAAAGAACTCACAAATTAATATGGTTAATTTATAAGGTGTTGAAAAACGACTCAATGTTCTTTAATTCTTAATAAAAACAATAATTATATTAAATTCTTGATCTTGTAATTTTACAAAATTTTACAAACAATATTAGAATTTATTGATCATATGCTAAACCCTCCAGCAAACGAATATGAAAAAAAGTCTGATAAATCAAAAATATTTTAATATTTATTAGTAAAACATTTACATATTCAGGGCCAATGACACCAGGGGGCACTGACCCTCCCAACCACTTTTTTCTAAAAACATATTTTTTTTAAGAAATTTTTATATATAGAGGATGTTTTTTTAGAAATTGATGATTGTACCCCCTTGATTGATGACCCCTCCACCTTGAAGTATTATTGAGTTTACAAAAAAAAATTATTAGTAATTTTTTTTTTGCAAATTTTCCCCTGAAAATAAGAGTTCATTGATGTTGATTGTTCATTGTTCAAAATAAAGCTAAACAATATTTTTGATATTATTTAGAGGGGTATCCCCTCCCCCCATTTAAAGAGCAGAGTCGACGACACCGGTGGGCATGTACCCCTAATTTTTTTTCTAAAGCGCTTTTTTTTTCTTTCAAAGAAAACTCTAGATATGAAGGACTTTTTTAAAAATTGACGATTGGGCCCTGAAGAGATTGTAATTTTGTTGTAATCGTCACTTCTAAACATAAAGAAACTTTTAATATTACATAGATTTTTTACATAGAACGCTTTCCTGAATAAAAAAACATTTAACCTAAATCAACTATCAAAAAATTAAGATAAAAAAAAAAATACCTGAATTTTCTGTAAAATTATTGCTTAATAAATCTTTTTTGTGTGTGCATTTACATAATTCACAAGCAGAATCAACCACTTCAACAACATACTTTGGTGATGGTCTAAAAAGACAATATTTTGGTCTATAAAGAAAAATTAAGCACTGTGCTTTTTAAATATAAAACTTCCAATCATCACTAGTATAATATATAAACATAATATAATCAATCAGTATTATATCCACACTATAGCCAAACTATGTGAATCTAGTTAATTCGCAAAACCAAATACATTACTAATAAGAAAATAATAATAATTAATAAGAAAAAAATAATAATTAATAAGAAAAAAATAATAATTAATAAGAAAAAAATAATAATTAATAAGAAAAAAATAATAATTAATAAGAAAAAAATAATAATTAATAAGAAAAAAATAATAATTAATAAGAAAACTACTAAAATAAGAATATGAAACATTTGACAGAAAAAAATTATAAAAAAAATAATCATCCCTCAACCTTTTAATCAAAAAAATTTAGAAATGAGCTTGAATTAATTGTTGACATACTGAGGTAAAATTCTAGAAACTTTATATTCCTATGAACACCCAATAAAACATGTAGCACTGAAAACACCCAAACTAATAAGACTGACAGGAAAAAACTGACAATCAGCATTTTTGACAATTAGCATTGGCTAACAAATCAAATAAAGGATGGAATAGATTTATAAAACTGAACTCAGTTTTAAGTTTAGATTAGATTTAATGTTATAAACAATAAAAATATTAATATAGTCTTGAAAATAAATGAAACATTTTTATTTTCAATTATAATTGTACTTAAAATACATTTTTTCATGGTTAATACTTATTTAAAACAAAACTAAAAACAAATATAACAAATAAATACTTTTGATCACTATCTTTTGTCAAATAACACATGCGCTGTGATGGCTGACAGTGAATATAAAATTGGTTTTATTAATGTGGTGAATGGTGAGTCATGTGCTTCATCGTGATTTATACCATTTTATAAAACTAGCTGTGCAAAGTGGTACCATTATGATAACATTAAAGTGGTACCATTATGATAACATTAAAGTGGTACCATTATGATAACATTAAAGTGGTACCATTATGATAACATTAAAGTGGTACCATTATGATAACATTAAAGTGGTACCATTATGATAACATTAAAGTGGTACCATTATGATAACATTAAAGTGGTACCATTATGATAACATTAAAGTGGTACCATTATGATAGCATTAAAGTGGTACCATTATGATAACATTAAAGTGGTACCATTATGATAACATTAAAGTGGTACCATTATGATAGCATTAAAGTGGTACCATTATGATAACATTAAAGTGGTACCATTATGATAACATTAAAGTGGTAGTATCATTATGATAACATTGTGATAATAATGTCATACAATATTATACATATCACTATGATAAATGCTTTTCTTTTTTTAATTTTATTTTAACTTATTTTAATCTTAAAACATTTTAAATACGTAAAAAAATTTACAGTTCAATCAACAATTCAATGTTGTGTCATAAAAATGTTGCAATATTGGACCTTTTGTTAACCTTATGATGTCATGCTTTAAATATTTAATGAAAAAATTCAAACATAAAATAACAAAAAAACATAGAATAATAAAAAATTATCTTTTAAACAAACAAACAAAAAATTAAAAACACTTACAATTTATCATTTAAATATACATCATTGCCTACATTTAATGGGTGTAATTCAGATATTTTAGTCAGTAATGATTTTACCCATGGATCAATTACAGCATCTAAACTAATGGCTTACTTATTTTATATATATATATATATATATATATATATATATATATATATATTTAAAATATAAAGCATAAAAGTACAAACTAAATTTTTTCTTTGTAATATTTCCACCTGTTACATGAAATATAACAACGTAAAATATAATACAAAAAACTGTTACAAATATTACATAAAAATGTCAAAGAAGACATTAAAAAGAAGCCATAAATGATTACATAACAACTTAATATAAAATTAGCATATATTATTTAATTCCGTTTTTTTGGATAATTTTTTTAAGAGGTCTCCAACTGTTTGTAGAAATTTTAACGCAATTGTCACAGTTGAGAAGTATAGGAGCGTGTTTTATTTCCTGGTATGTTGAGACGTAATTAATTTCAAGTGATTACATTGAAATCACATTCCAATTTCAAATTCAACACTAGAATAGCATTTATTGGCCACCTTCGTAATGATGCTAATAAATCAGGTGCTAATTCTACTTTATATGTTACCTGAAAACACTCAGAACATTTTCAATACACCCCGTCAAAATATTGTACTACTAGTTTTGGTAAACTAAATATTTATTTCAATAAAAAAATTAAAAAACTCCATATATACATATATACAGGGTGTGACAAATCAACAAATATTCAAACCTTTGTTAAAAAAAGGCAGAAAAATGAACGTCATGTTTCTTTACTTTTACTAAAGCAAACATTGGCATTCGCTCAAAATTTTTTTAAACGAATGCATAACTTCAGCAACTTTTTTTTCAACTAATTGATAGTTTTTTATTTATAATAATAAAATAATTAGTTACTAAAATTTAAAAAACATTTTCAACGACTTTTAAAGAAACCATGCTAAAACAGGATTACTTTTGCTAATAGCTTTTAAGTTAAATAACAAATACGCTATTAAAGAAAGTAACTTTGTTTTAGCATTGTTTTTAGATCTGTTTACAAAAGCCTGTAAAATTATACTTAATATGAAAGCATTTGCTTTACTTTAAAAGAAACCATGCTAAAACATTGCTTTATTTAAAAATGTGCCTTTATTTAAACTATTTTATCGTTTAAGTCAAGTTATAATGAAGTTATCGTTTGCATACTTAAAAACACTTTGAAAAGTTTTGACAAGAATTTTTAAGTTTTACTGAAATATATAATCTAATGAATATATAGAATTATTTTGTTTATTATAGTTTAATTTATTATTATAGTAATAATACCATATTTTTAATATTAAATACATAATATTAGAAATAAAATAACATAATAATTTCATATAAGGTATTTAATAAAAACTTGATATAATAATTTATTAAATACTTAATACAACATTATTATTTTTTATAGTTTAAAAAAATAAAGGTCAATATAACTTCTATTTTATAATTAGCTCACTTTTAAGTTAATACTTTTTTTTATAAGTAAATAAATTAAAGGAACTAAATTAAGAAAAAATCACTATTTTGAATTAATATAGATAATTATTTACAATCATTAAATTATTGCATATTATTAAGGCCGTTTTCCACAAGACAAGATTTTTTCCACGATGTGTAGATAAAGCATTTCTGCTAATATTGCTGATCAATCAATTTGCTGCAGCAAAAAAAAAAGTTGATCGTTATGAGCGAAAACCAATCATATTTAAATAGTATATCACGTAAAGTCAACAGTAAAAAAAAGCGATCTTCGCTTCTAACAAGGCTGCAAGCAACCACTAATTAGTGTTGGAAGTTACTGGAAGAGAAAAGATGAAGATTGTAGAGCATGATAACGATTGACAGACAACTTAAAAGATTTCAAATTATATGAAGCAGGAAAGCAAGATGAAGGAAGCGAATTCCAAAGAACTGATATTTGAGGAAAAAAACTAGACGAAACAGAAAAAAGATGAGACTTAATTGAATGACAAGTAACACGAGAATGAATTTTAGTAGATGGCACAAGAGATGCTAGCTCTTTCGAGCAGTGCCCATTATAGTATTTGTAGAAAAGAGAAAGAGAAGCAACATTATTGCGATGTGACAGAGGTTGAAAGTTGGCTGCAAGAGCAGGTTTAACTATGTTTACAAAGCGTTTTTGCACCTTGTCTAAAAGAGAAAGGGCATCATTAGAAGATCCACCCCAGATATGGCAACAGTATTCCATACAAGGTTGGATTTTTAAATTATTGCAATGATTGGCTGAAAAAAGTTGAGTTTTATCTGAATTAAAGTTCACCAGCCACTGTGAGCCCCATGCTGTAGCAGAAATGAGATCCTTTTCAAGCTCAGATGCCCCCTGCAAGCAATCAGAGGGAGTTGGCTTCTTATCCTGACAACAATAAATGGTAGTATCATCAGCGAACAATGCCGCCTTAGATGAGAAAATATCTGGAAGATCGTTAATGTAAATTAAAAAGAGTATAGGGCCAAGGGTTAAACCTTGAGGAACCCCTGAGGTTACAGAATAAGAAGAAGAGTACTGTCTATGAAGGACAACTTTTATACTAGGATTGGAAAGAAAGGATTCAACAATCTTAAAGATGTTTCCAGATACACCATAAGAAGAAAGCTTATAGAGAAGACCAGCATGCCAAACTTTATCAAATGCTTTAGAAATGTCAAGAGCAATGGCCTTAACCTCTCCACCTTTATCTAATGCACAATAAAACCTATCGGTTATTACTGTTAGCAAATCAGCCGTAGAACGAGAAGATCGAAATCCATATTGATGATCAGAAAGTAGGTTATGAGATTCAAGATGAGAGATTAAGTGTTTGTTAATTAAAGATTCAAAAACCTTGCTTATGATAGGAAGAAGACTAATGGGACGGTAGTTAGATGAATTGGATCGCTCTCCAGAATTTTTAAAAATAGGGATAACAGAAGCTGCTTTCCAGCAGGCTGGAAAACAAGACTCTGATAAGCACTTGTTAAATAGTTTTAAAAGGATAGACGACAGCTCCGGAGAACACTTATGCAAGACTATAACAGGTATATTGTCCGGGCCGCAAGCTGTAGAAGAGTCTAAGCATGAAATCACATTAGATACAGAAGCTGGAGTGATATGGATGTTGAGCAATGGGTCAACCTGTTTGACGGCTATATCAGGTAGAACGCAACTAGTGGAGTCAAGAGATGATATTGATAAAAAGGTCTTAGCAAACAATTCAGCTTTGTCTTTAGGCGAGGTGATAAAGTCTGAACCATACAAAAGAGGTGGAATTACAGACTTGCTATTATTATTGATACTATTAAAGATTCTCCAGAAGTTGCAAGAGCCTAACTTTTGTGATGAAATACGAGATTTCATGATCTGAGAATAGCGGGCTTTGGCGTTAGACAAAACCTTTTTACAATGGTTCCTAGCAGTAATAAACAGACGTCTGTTTTCTGGAGAATTGTTTTGCTGATAGATATGAAAGTAATGGTTTTGATTGACAATTGCAGCAGCACAATGCGAGGAAAACCATTGGGAAGAGCGAGGCTTGACCTGGAATCGTCAAGAGGAAATAAAGGATTCCATGCCAGCCTGAATCCACAAAGTTATGTAATAAGCACATTTGTCAATAGGAAGACGAAAGATTTCTACCCAGGGGCTATCACAAAGAAAATCACGGAAAGAGTCCCAGTCAGCTTTAAGGTAGTTGTAAGATGTACGATGATAGGGGGATTCTGATGATAAAGAAGAATGAGATAATAGTTTTAGAGAGATCAAACCATGATCGGAGGCACCTAAGGGTGAGTGTGGAGAAACTGAGCACTGACTAGGATCAGAAACAAGACATAAGTCGAGTAGAGAAGGTAAATGATTCGGGTTGTCTGGAAAGCGAGTTGGAAAGTTGACTATTTGAGTTAGGGATTGAGAAAGGCAAAAGTTGTAGGCCTTAATGCCTGCAGAGTCACTGACACTAGAGCCAAGCTATTCAGTGTGATGAACATTAAAGTCACCAAAAACAACAATATTGGCTGATGGATAAAGATTTTTAGATTTGTTAAAAAACTTGACTTGAAACATAGATAGTACTCAGTACACTGCTTTATAGCCCAAGCAATTGCCTCATTTCTATTAATAAACCCTAAGCCGTAACAAAGCGCTCCAATGTGGCCTTGGCAATGCACACCAAAAGTGCAAACAGGGACACCATCCATGCGCATCATGGCACTGTTAGTACTTTGATATTTTTCAGCTGTTGATGGAATCAGCCTCTCTGAAAGCTACCACAGAGTTTGGGAAACCTGACTACCAGCCGGCCTCAAAACCATAAAACTGAGTTTTAGAGCTGTACCCTCATTTGGAGATAATAGAATGAGTTGCCTAGTCATAAAAACAGAGACACAAGAAAAAACCCATGTATCGAGTCAAGAAGATCCAGCGTTCAACATCCTAAACTGGAAACAATACATATTAAAAATTATATTAAAAATACATCTGTGCCAGCCTAATAGATGAAGAAGGGGTGCGGGGCTGGTCAACAGATAGAATCTGTTTACCCCTTATAATGGCAACAACAACAGTTATAATGGCAACAACAACAATAAACAAAAAGCTCAACTTGATGTTCTTAGTTACTTAGAATTCACCCTGAAAATTGGCAAGCATTAGCAAATTCATCAAACAAAGATGAATTTATTAATGCTGTCAATTCCGAAAGTTTTAATTCACAAGGTTTACCTTCTTTCAGAGTTAAACCATTTATTACTTCTTGCAGTAACAGATTTTCAATAGAAGTGTTCCTATGAGAAGTTAGCATTTATTTTCTTAAACATTCTTAAAAAAAACAAAGGTATACATCAAAAACTATTTTTTATACATTTTTTTTTTTTCAAAAGCATACAGTGTAAACTTATAGCTGTAATTTTTTATTGATAGCAAAAATATTAGCGCGAAAATGTGGAAATCAAAACGGCGCTTTGTCATGACAAAAAAAATTGCTTCATGCGATTTTTTTTATCTTGTGGAAAATGGCTTTTAATACAAGGGCTTATAGTCTCAGTTCCGTTCCGTAAATTATCAC